CCTATGGAGTGCCTACGCTGCTCCCTTCCCAACCACCGCCACCCCCACGCATTGCTGTCTCCGGATCCACCGCCCACGCGCGTCGTCGTCTCCCGATCCCACCGCCCCCATCACCGAATGGACCGTGGAGCACCACCGCCGCTCCCTTCCCCACCACTGCCGCCCCCGCACGTCGCCGTCACCGGATCCACCACCCAAGTGCGTCATGGTCGCCGGATCCACCGCCCATGCGCGTCGCCGTCTACGAATCCCGCCTCCAAACTCCATCGAACGGCTGTGGAGCACTGCCACTGCTCCCTTCCCCACCCCCAACGCCCTGGTGTGTCTCCATCGCTGGATCCGCCGTCCCCGCGCATCGCCTTCCCTGGATCCACCACACCCGCACATCACTATCTCTAGATCCCACCACCCCCCCACTGTACTCTGCCAAACGCGTCGCAGCTGCTCCCTTCCCCACCACCGCCGCCCTCGTCGCCGCTCCCTTCCCCACCACTGTCGCCCCCACCGCCCTCGTCTCCACCCCAGCGCCCCCGCGCACCGAAATGAGGAGAGGTGAGGGAGAGAGGAGAGGAAGCTGGGGCTTAGAGAAATATATGATTTTTCAGTTTCCTCTGGAGTCTATTTAAATGCCACAACCAATTTTCGCAGGCGGACATCATAAGAGGTCCGCCTGCAAAAATAAAGGTATTTTTTCAAGCACGCCTCTTAAGCTATCCGCCTACGAAAATTTTTTTAGATAATGGAATGAAACATCCCAGCCTTTACTCAGAAGAGCTACAGCCAATTATTACACAAAGTAGCACACTTTAAAAGTCGTAATCTAAAATATAACAAGCACACCCACCAAAAATAAAAGAAGACCTAACATGACAAGGAAAACATTATTCCAGTCTATTGGTGAATCTCCATCCGTTGACTCAAGGTTACGACATGCAACATTAAGGAAATTTCCATCTTCCTCACACTTTTGAAGTTAAGCCCACAGCCGAAGCCAATATGTTGCCCTGAAAATTACCTGCATATAGGAAACAAATGGTGATTTGTCCAAAACCCTATCATTTCTACACAACCATAGGGCCCAACATAAAACCAAGGCACCAACAAGTATCAGTTTACTCTTTTCCTTGTCCACACACTGAAGCCAACCGTCAAACATATGAGATATGCTTCTAGAAAGGTACCATCCAAAAGAAAACTGGACAGCTCTTCAAATAAACTTTGCATAATGACAATCCATAAACAAGTGTTGAATCGTCTCAATTTTCATGCAAAAACAACATCTTAAACACCCATTCGAATTCCGTCTTGCTAGATTAACCTTGGTTAACACAACTCCCTTAAGCAAGTACCACATGAAGATCTTAATCTTAAGCAGCATCTTAAGCTTCCAAATGAACTTGTTTCTATCAATGTAACCATTATTAATTAAAGCTAAGTACATTGATCTAACCGTAAACTGGCCATTCTGATTATAATTCCATCTAAAACAATCAGCAGAATCATCCAACTGGATATGAGCAATAGAAGCACATAAATCATGCCAAAGTGTTAGATTCTGCCCAACTAAAACTCTCCTAAAAGAAACATTTAGCGGAACAGAGCCCATAACACTAGCAATAGAGGCACTCTTCCTTCTGACAATAGCATATAAAGATGGATACTTATCTCTGAAGGCCATATTTCCTAGCCATTTGTCCTCACAAAATCTTATCTGTTGACCATCATTCACAATCCAAGAACCCATACCTAGAAAGGTGTTTTTTACCTTCATAAGCCCTGACAAAAATGAGAATCACCTTGTTTCCTATCCACTTGGGTTATAGATTTATTATGAAGATACTTCCTCTTCAATAAATCTTGCCAAACACCATTCTCATTAATTAATTTATATAACCACTTACTCAACAGACCCAATCCACCCTGGTCTTTGGGTTAACAAATTATATCCCATCTAGTTAGTCTATATTTTTTCTTATGGTCATCCCCTTGCCAAAAGAAGCGTGATCTATAATAATCAATCTTTTGAAGAACCCCTTTCAGAATCTCAAAGAAAGATATCATGAACATAGCTAAACTTGAAAGGAAGGAATTAATCAACACCAATCTACCTCCAACAGACATATGTTTACCTTTCCAACTTCTAAGTTTCCTCTCAATTCCTTGTTCAATAACCTTCCAATCATTATTACTCAGCTTCATGAAATGCATTGGAATACCAAGATATTTAACAGGAAAAGAGCAAGTTTACAACCAAAAATACTCGAATATTCATCAAAGCACTCTTTTGCCTTCCCAAAATAAAATAACTCACTTTTGTGAAAATTAATTTTTAGGCCAGATAATTTTTCAAACACAGATAAAATCAATTTCAAGTTCTTTGCTTGTTGTAAGTCATGCTCCAAGAAAATGATAGTATCATCTGCATATTGCAAAATAGACAAACCATCATCCACAAGATGAGGAATTACCCTATTAAGAGAGCCACTATCTTTAACCCTTTTAATTAGCAAAGCTAACATATCAGCTACTATGCTAAAAAGAATTGGAGATAACAGATCCCCTTGTCTAAGGCCTTTATAAGTTTGGAAATTTTCACCAATTTGATTATTGACTTTAATACCAACATGACCCCTTGGATAAAAGAGGCTATCCACTCACACCATTTAGGAGATAAGCCCTTCATTCGCAAAGTCTATTGGACAAAAGGCCATTTAACCTTATCATAAGCTTTCACAAAATCAATCTTTAAGATTACTCCACTATTATTTTTACGATGCAACTCATGCAAAGTCTCATGCAAAATAACCACACCTTCCATGATATTTCTCCCAGGAATAAAAGCAGTTTGAGTTGGACTAATGACCTTTTGGGTGACACTCATTACTCTATTTGTGGCAACTTTGGTAAAATTTTCGAAACTAACATTAAGTAAGCATATAGACCTATATTGTTGAATTTTCATGGCCTCTACACACTTTGGTAAAAGAATGATGGTACCAAAATTAAGAGAGAATAAAGGCAAAGAACCATTATGAAACTCTTTAAACAGGTTAAGTAAATCATCCTTTATAACACTCCAGAAGACTTGATAAAATTCAGCAGGAAAACCATCGGGACCCAGCGCTTTATCGTGTTCCATCTGAAGGATAGCCTCCTTAATCTCCTTTTCAGTAAATTCCTGTGTTAAAGCCTCATTCTCCAAATGGGAAACTTGAGGAATATCAGCAACTTTACTCTCATCAAATTGGAGTAAAGATTCATCAGGAGGACCAAAAAGACCCTTATAATAAGTGGTAATATGCGATTTTGAATTTGCATCACCATGAATCAAATGGTCGCCATCCTGTAATTGAAAAATTCTGGTTTTCCTATGTTTTTCATTCGCAACTAAATGAAAATATTTTGGATTAGAATCACCCTCTAAAATATCCTTTGATTTAGCCCTCTGTTACCATTTAATTTCCTCCTCTCTCAGAAAAGATGATAATCTATTTCTATAAAACCATCTAATATCCAATTCTTCCGGACTTAATATCCAATTCTTCCGGACTTAAAAGAGAAGTTTCAGCCTTTTTGTCTAGCAAATCTAACTTATCTAAAATTTATTTCTTTTCTTTTTTATATAAACCACTAGTATGTTTCGACCAGCCCACAAGATGCTGTCATAACCGACGAATTTTTGCCTGCCACCGCTCCATAGCAGTATTTCCGCCTGCGAAAATGAATTTTTCCAGGCAGTCGGTCATTAGACCTCTCTCCACACATTTTCGCAGGCGATCAGTTATAGTCAAAAATAAAATCCGCCTGGAAAAATTATGTGTTCTGTTGTAGAAAATGTGCTACGTGAAGTGAATATGCTATGTAAATGCACTAGGAACCACGTCACAGGAAAGACCAAGTCAAACTGCTATGTAGGACGAAAGTACCATTAATTAAAACCACACCCATCATGTAACGTGATCCGGTTTTAATTGTTTTGGAGAGTCTCTATACCTACCTTATGGTTCTTGGATGCGAATTGAATTCTTCTATAATTTGTATGGAAAATGGACACTGGTTGTTGCAAACTAATTGAATCAGAAACATACTCCCATTGTTTTATCCACGTCATCATGAGTTAAAATTTAACTCCCAGTAAAATTTTAACTCATGAGTGAATCTGCGAGTTAAATTTTAACTCATAGTGACGTGGACGAATCTCGAACGTCTATTTCTCGATCCAACGATAGTTTTTAAGTTTCCACTACATATGCGTGGTTTACCATACATATTTTCCCAGTAGAACCCAATGACAACGAAAGCTGCCACCGCGCCACCGTACGTCTCAACCGCCGGCCCGGTGGATTCCACGTCTCAACGGTAGGTATCGCAGGTGGCCGTCCCCGTCCTGCTCTCGCTTGCCAACATCTCACTGCTATTGGAAATAATTGGAAACCGCATATGTATCGCATTGCATACAATTGACAGCATCGTATTGTAAAAGATCGACATGACATAGTATGCATTGTCATTTTCATCCAAAAAACTACATTTTATATAAATAAATAAATAAAATGGCATTTTACAAAAAAAAATATAGTCGAAGGTAATAATTTAGCTAAAAAAATCGAAGGTAATAACAACACTGTCATATGGCATGCATTTAGGAGTCGAAATTGCTGATGGTTCTAGGACCAAATTAAGGCAATGCTCAGGAATATGCTCTCATGTGGTGATACCATATGCCAGAGGCTGCTGGTCTCCAGAAATTAACTGTAGTTGCAGCACAAGATAGCCCAAGTCTGACTAACTCGTACTACTAATTTGCAGAGAAACACCAACCAAAATCTTGTAAACTTTGCAGTTTGCAGCAGTTGTCAGTTGTCAATTGCCATGCTTCTGAAAGAGCAAGATGTTCCAACTTGAAAAGTTGGAGGCATGTCAACTCATAGCAGATCAAAGCACATGTCTGCAATTTTCCGAGCCTATAAAGATCCTGTAGGGCGTCAAGGTCTGAAGTACATCACAGTGAATTTACACAAAGGAGATTGATGAGTGTAGAGGTAAATGAGTATTCCATTCGCAATCTCTACTCTGTGGTTGAAGAAAGATGAGGTACCTTTGATGATTCAGGATTCTTGTGCTAGTTTCATATGCCTTTTTCATGGCAGACATGGTTTAGTCTTCATCTTTGCCAATAAATACTGGAGAAACCACATGTTCTTCAATGATTTCTTTTTTTTATGCTGTCAAGGCACGGGCGCACGGTCGGTTTTCCTACAAACAAGAGGTCAAAGCACTTTATATCCCAATTTACAAATGAAAAATCTTTCAAAGATAGAATATTTGTGATGAAAACAATGTTATACACAAAATGAGCAAGTTAAACTCAGGTTGCTTCATGGAAGATCATTATGTTACATGGGGAATCCAAAATATCCAATGGTAACGCACGAGCAATAAGGTAACCACCGATCAATCTCAGAAAAAAGAAACTAGGAGAAATAACTCAAAAGAAAATTGGTCCGTGCAAAATCAGCTTGGGAAACCTGATGAATAATGTTCTAGCAAATTGGGGCAGTGCTCAACAGCCTCAGGCCGTGGGGTATGGTGCACAGCATAGAACAACCAGAAAGCCGCTTTTCCAACTAATCTGATCTGGTAAAGTCTCTATTTTGCTGCAGTTATTTTTTTTTAGGAAAAACATCAGAAGAGGACAGGGAGAGCCTGTTTTCATTAAAGAAGAAGAGACTTGGCCCCGTTTTTAAGGGGAAACCGGGCCCAAAAACCTCACATAAGCACGGTTTGAGGGGGAAACAAAGAAAAAAAACTTGCGACGGCACCACTGGAGGAAAACATAGGTCATCGTTGCCAAAAGCAGCTTCAACTTCCTATGAACAAACCACAGACAACGTAGAGCAGGGTCTTCAAGACGAAGCCTCCAAGGAGGAAACATAGCGTCAAAACGCAAGCAACGTCCGTCCGAAAATCGGAACAGGGTTTTCACCCGAAGAAACGGGTAGAGCAAAGAACGATGCCTTCAAGAAGGAAAACGGCGCCCACAGGCATCACCATCGTTGTCTCTACCCCACGAGCGAGCAGGACAAGCGCCCCGACTCACTCACCCTGCCAACTACGACACCCCCGGCAACCACAGCGCTACCAAGGAAAGCGGGAGAGGGTTATCGTTGCCAATTGTCAGACTTTTAATAGAGGAAAGCTATCAATTATCAATTGTCAGTTATCAGATGCCTGAACGGCATCAGCAAAGATGGAGTCCCATGGACAGCCACATTGATCGAGCCCAGCACGCGGCGTCGAGCGCTTCGCTGCAAGAACTTGAGGTACATCAGCTTCAGACGAATCTCTAGACTCTAGGATCAAGTCCTTGGTCCTGCCAGATTCAATCAGCATGCAGCAAGCTGCGTGAGCTCATCTTGCTGGAAGCTACACCTCCTGTGCTTCCCACTGACTAGCAAAGGCTGTTTCTGAAGAATAGTTTTCATTGAGCAGCTTCTTGATGAAAGATGAGTGTATTTTAAACAAGCTAAGCTGCTAAAGATTATGAACATGGAACGAGGCCGACATTGCACATTCTTGCTATGTATATGCAAAGTGCTAAACCACATGTCTCTAAAGCTAGTTCGAGAGATCCTGAACAAGATAGACATATGCTCAACAAGATCAAACCATAGTACAATTAGCACAAGTAGAATCAAACCATACTAGGAACCTAAGAATTATTCAACCCCACAGTCAAACAGCGTTAATATAATTTCCCCTCGTCCATATTGGACTCCTTGTTATGTGGACTACGAAGAATGTGGTAGAAAGAAAACATGTCAACGGGAGACAAGCTTATGCAATGGGCTCCATAACAACACCAGTCTAAAGTAAACAACAGACATACGCTCTGTCTATGCTAATCCCAGAGATCCTGAACAAGATGACAGATCAATGTTGAACAAGATCAATTAGCACGACTAGAATCAAAACCATAGTAGAAATCGAAGAATTAATATTATAGCTAATCATAGAGTCACACAAACATTATTGCTTATAGTGATAAAATGAAGGGGAAATACATAACTTCCCCTACAACTAAAAAGCTAGCTAGATCGATGCCAAACACCGACGATGGTTATAAGATTATTTACTATTCAGTGAGCTGCAGCTCTACTGCCTTGGTCGCCGTCTTCGTAGTCATCATCGTCGATGATAACCTCGTACTCCGCGTAGCCTTTGGCGTAGTACTGCTTAAGCACGTCCTCCGGCTTATCGCGGATGTTGTAGATGACCTCCCGCTCATGGCGCAGCTCCTCGATGAGCGCCTTGCGCCTCGCCTTGCCCTCCTCCTTGGCGTCGTCCATGGCGCGCAGGTGGGCGACGAGGTCCGGCGGTAGCTTGGCCAGGAGCTCCGCGCCCAGGGCCTCGGTCAGCTTGGGCGTGTCCCTGCGCTCGGGCAATTCCTCCGGGTTCCCAATGCAGTATAGAATCTGCTCTTGAGTGTAGCGGACCTTCTTCTTCTTCTTCTTCTTCTTCTTCTTCTTCTTCTTCTTCTTCTTCTTCTTCTTCTTCTTCTTTTTCTCCGTTGAAGGCGCCTTACCTTGGTCGTTAGTGGGATCAATCACCTTGTCAAAGCTACTCGTCTCACTCCTTCCCTCAGATGGAGGATCCATCGCCACCAGCGCCGGAATTCCTATGGAGAAATAATAATAAAAAAAGGCTAAGTACTCTCTTTGTATTTTTATGACCATGTTTTTGTGTAGATAAAAAATAGCTATGTCATGATAAATCAAGTCACAATAAAAATAAATAATAATTACATAATATTTTTTGAATTGGATGAATGATCAACGTTGGTTAAAAAGTCAACAGCGTTATATATTAAAATAGAGAGGGAATATAATACAATATCGGATCAGAAACAAGAAAGGGGGCCACTTTTGTCAACTATCAACTACGGAAGATCATCTCAGCACGTACATGGATCTACTCTACGTTGGCACAAAAATTATAAAATTCTATAAATCCAGATCGAGATTATACAAAGAAAAGGAGAGCGACTTCTAATTAAGCCGCGCGCACCTGATGGAGGAGCTTCCGCCGCCGGAATCGTGGCTTTAATCCTCCCCTCGATCTCGTACGTGTCGATCGATTGAGAGCTTCATTAAAACCTAGATTGTGAATTTGTGATGGACTTATCGGGTGGGTCGGGTGGAGAGGACCACCGTACAGCCCCTGCCTCAAAATATATATATATATATATATATATATATATATATATCTGTGTGTGTGTATGTGTATGTACGTACTACAGCTCGATCAGCTCCGATTACAATCGGGTTCGGAGAGCAGCTGCGACGTTGTGGATGATGAAGGATGCAGTCGTACACTCGTACGTCGACGAGAGGAGAGGCACGCAGGGTGGTGCAGGAATAAGCTAGCGACGTGCTTCCTGTCTTCCTCCTCAGCTCGCCGCCCGACGACCAACCTCCCACGCCCAGGTCGCCCGCTCCGGGGATTGCAATTCCGGTTCAAAGTTTCGTAAATTTCCGAAATTCCTGGCGCGGCAAGTGATTATCTCGGTCGAAATTTCGTTTTTTCTCAAATTTTTGTGAATTTAGTCAAATTCAGTTAAGTTATGCTAAAATTTCAAAGAAATTTTTGTCCAAAAAGTGTTGAAAATGAGCGAAATTTCGGACGAAATTGAAATTGAAATTGAAAACCTTGCCGTTCCATCAGAGCCATCGTTGATCGGGGAGCGGCATGGGTAGGCACAGTGGACACGAGAGAAAAATGGACACCACTAGAATGCACCAGATAAAATACCATCCGATACATTGTCTTTGAGATAAAATGCCACTTTGAAGAGTTGTAATACCAAGATACTCCTCGTGGAGAGAGAGGAAGGGAGAGGGGAGCGCTAGGACAGTGGCCGTGCTCCCCATCAGCGAGCAATGGGCGGCGAGCGCGCTGCCCAGCAGTTCGCTTGCTAGGAGGCAGTGGCGATGGGGACGACAGCAGAGGAGGATGGCGCAACAAGCATCGAGCGAGCGGGCGGCAACAAGACGACGGGGCAGAGGGAGGAGGCAATGATGTGGTGGCTCTCTAGCACCACCTAGCCCGCGCGCTCACCTCTTGCTGCCTCCGGCGCTGCTCCCACGCGCGCGTGTGCGAGCTGCTCACGGCATCTTCCTCCTCCCTGTAATCGTCGTCGCCACCACCGCTTGCTGGTGAGCCCTCCAGCACCACACTAGGGGCATATTGATCTTAAAACTCTTCAAAGTAGCATTTCATCTACAAGACAACATATCAAGTGGTATTTTATCGATGTATTAAGTGGGTGGCATTTTATTGAAACCCCACAAGACGCTGCAGCCTTGTCGTCCAGATCTCGCGTCGAGAGGCTCCATTGTAAAGGCTGTCGGTGTCGTGGTTGGGGAGAAAAGATAGAGAGAAGAGAAGTGGGTGATGTAGACAATGTGGGGGAGCAAATCCGGTGAGGTGGACGAAGTCGAATGTCGCCCCCCCCCCCCCCAAAAAAAAGGAAAAATTGGTTATATAGCATTGAAAGTTCACGTTTTTAGATTTATAGCACCGAAAGATACCGGTTCACTTTAATAGCACCCAAAGTTCACCCCATTCCCATTTTTAACATTTCCGTCAATTCTCGATCATTTTCCGTCCGTCTTGATCCCAGCCACGCACACGATATGGCGTTTCTACCCGTCACAAGTATAAGTAGAATACATGTCAATGAGGGTAGAAACGCCATATCGTGTGCCTGGCTAGGATCAATACGGACGGAAAACGATCGAGAATTGACGGAAGTGTTAAAAATGGGAACGGGGTGAACTTTAGGTGCTATTAAAGTGAATCGGTATCTTTCGGTGCTATAAATCCAAAAACGTGAACTTTCGATACTATATAACCAATTTTACCAAAAAAAAAATCCCCACCTCCGCATCAGTTTCTTCACTCCGCCATCACTGAGTAGGGAGAGGAAGGGACGCTGATAGTCGAGCCCCATCTGCTAACTGAGCCCGTCAAACTCGTCATGTTACGTGGGGAATTTCGTTTCGCCGTCGCAGAGATCGGGACGAACACTGTGCCGGACGGTCTACAGTGCCGCGCGTGGGAACAGATTAGGCACGGTGGTTAGAGGTTGTTTTGATAAAGATGTTATCCCTTTCTTTTAGCTTAATTAGTTCAGTTTGTAAGGCTATTTAGAGCCGGCAGGATTATGGTTAATGATAACAAGAAATTTATCCCCAAAACTACTTTCTCAATCTACCTATGTTCTCTCTATCCCTGCCCCTGTTCTTGGTGAAGTTCGAGTTGGGAGCAGTCCATCTCTGCTCCTAAGACGTCAACTATCCATGTGAGCGAAAACCAGGCTAACAAGTGGAAGTCAAATTGCATAAGTTTAATACTAATTGTTGAGGGTCAAAATATTTGATGTTGTGGCTAAGAGATACAAAACAAATTGAACCTATGTTTTATATTTGAGGAAGCCAAGGGGAATTTTATTCTTTTAATATTTACATCGTGATATGTAGATTGTTGAAAAGTACTTCGTAATTCGTGGACCAAACAAATGATCCGCATTGATCTGCATGTTATTGTCCTGCCTCACGCGAAACGTACCAAAGATTCACTCCGCACAGCGTATGCGCGTAAGTTGGCACGGTAGGCCAGGGCAAAACCCAAACATCAAACATATTCGGTGTTAGCAACTTTTTTGACAAGTTGACAATCACGATCGCAGCACCTAAACCTTTGCGGTGATAGTAGAGTCGCCAACCACCCTAATCTAACACTAGATTAAGATGGGTTTTGATAAAATAAACCAGCTAGCGGAGCCGATATAGATGAAACCGTGGATAATTACCTCCCTCGTGGGCAAAACGGAAGGTTTTCAGGATAAACCTATAAAGATGTGTCTACAATTGATTGATTGTTGATTATATGTCTACAATTAAACCGGCCTTGTCCCTTATATAGGGGTTGATCTTGCCATCTACAGGCCCTCCTCTACATCTAACTCGGGATAGAAACAAAAGGAAACCCGAAACATGTCTTCCCAAGCAAGGAAAACTCGAAACCCGACAAAACAGACTCGGACACGGACTCTGCCAGTCAGACCGGCCACACACTGCCGGTCTAACCGGCCTACTGGCGGTGGTAAGAGGAAAACCGGCAGAACGTCCAAACTTTAGCTATTTCTCTATTTTAATCCTAGATGCCAAATTTGAGTATAAACACCCAGAATGAGAAATTTGCATATCTGTCATCCTTAAAGATCGGCTTCGCTTGAATGCTATCATTAAAATAGGATTCAATCGAAGGTCACTTTCAAGCTGTGGGAGCTGTAATGCCATTTTCACTCTTTTTTGCATTTGTAAATTATTTTTCGTCCAATACATTTTATCTCAGACTTCTTTTTTTTTTTTTCCCCTAGCTGCACTGTTGAACCACACCGAGCGAGAGAGAAGGGGCGACGACGCCAGCGCCACGGCCTTCCCTAACCGCGCCACCTCCCCCCACGAGTCATGCTGCCTCTCCCTGCCGATCCGTGCCGCCGCTTGCAGCCCACCCCACCTAAACCCGTCGCCGCTTGCAGCCCGCCACCCCCCGGACCCGCCGTCGCAACCTGCCGCCGCCTGCTCCTCATTCCGCCGTGTTGGGCTGCAAGAGTGGCAGCGGAGAGAAGCGGTGTGGTTCGGCTCAGCGGGGGGAGGCGAAGCCCTTTGATATTTTGTTTCCTCTCTCAATGTTGGATGCTGGTCATTCCCCTTCGCGTCATATGCCGTCGTCTTCGGCTCCGGCAGCAGCTCACGACGTCCACCACCATCTCCGCTGGAGACCCCCCTGAGCTAGCATCAGCAATAGCACACACGTGCGAGCTCCAGCAAGAAGGCAAGCTAGCTCCTTCATACTCCGTTTCTTTTCTAAATATTGACGGCGTTGTCTTTTTAAAAAAATTAATTAATTATTAATTCTTTTCCTATCATTTGATTCATTGTTAAATATACTTTTATTTATACATTTAATTTTACATATTTAACAAAAGTTTTTAATAAAACGAATGGTTAAAGATGTGCTAAAAAATCAACGGTGTCAAATATTTAGAAATGGACTAGCAAGCAGGCAGACAGCCGGCCGGCTGGCCGGCTCGCTGCAACATCCCGCACCAAGCCCCAGCTCCATGATCCCCTTCCTCTAATTAGCAACTAATAACTCTGTCGACGATTGATGTCGCGATTCCGGTATTTGCATAGTATGAGGATCGTTGGTACTAGGATATATGCGAGATTGCAATAAAAGAGATGGATACGAGGATTTTTATATAGGTTCGGGCCCCTGAATTATCAGGTAATAACCCTACATCCTGTTGGCCGAAGCTGGTCATTACTCTTATTCATCATAATCACACTAGTACAATATTTGGGGTAGCCTATCTAACTGTTGTCGGCTTGGCGGTCTGAAGTACTGACTCGTAGTCGACAACAGGATAATCTTCCTCCTCGAATCCGCATCCGGCGAGATCAGAGACAACGCTATATCTCTCCTGACAATATCCGTAGGTACCGTAGGGGACTAGCCATGCCTATCTCTGAAGTCGATATCTGGCGTCTTGTCTTGGCGTATGTTGTCTTGTATGTTGATCTGTACCTTGATCTATTGCTTCGTGTCCCCTCTCCTCCTAGGAGGCCTTGTATTTATATCCATAGGTGCCCCCTTGTCCAAGTAGAACTAAGGAAACTAATATGGAAACAATCCGAGTAGTCCTTGTCGTTTCCATGTAGAACTCTATTCATCCTTCCTTATATGGAACTCCTTCTATATCCGAAGATTGTTTCCGTATAGGACATGGTATGCGGTGGGTCCTGCCGAGATTTAGTCAACTACTATTAGGTATGTAGTATCTATAACCCTGACAGACTCTAATTAGCATTTAGCTTAAATCTAGTAGTATGGCAAGGAAAGCTACTTCACGCACTCAATGCCCAAATTAAATTGCCAAGGTCAAATATGTCATAAGTATACCATACCAATTTCTGGATTGATTTGTGTGTATAAATTAATATAGTTGCAAATTAAAATGGAGAAAGTAATATGTTGTGTTTTGATCATATGCGTTTGGATTTCATCCAAAAATACTTAGTTGACATATCTTATTTTGTTTCAATCACACTGCCATATTTAT